CCATCCATCCATCCATCCATCCATCCATCCATCCATCCATCCATCAGGAGACACCCGGTACAGGTCTCCAGTCCATCACAGGGCCACATAGACAAACAACCATTCACTCTCTCACTCACACCTAGTGACAATTTAGTTACCAGTCAGTCTAACATGCATGTTTTTGTTCTGTGGGAGTAAACTGGGGTGCCTGGAGAAAACCCACGCATGCACGGAGAGAACATGCAAACTCCACCCAGAAAGGCCCCCAGCCGGGATTTGATCAAGCGACCTTCTTGCTTGGAGGCAATTCTACTACCTCGAGACACTGTGCCACCCTTTTCTGGTAATTTTTAAAATAAAATGTAGACAAAATGTGCCTAGGTAAAATAAGTACTTTTACACAGTTTAAGCTCTTGATGCATGTGTTACGTTAAAACAAAAGCAAAACTGATGGAAACGGACTGGACCTGCAGTGTCTTCTTCATGGGCCTTGGACAGTTTTATCCTCTCATAAACAAGAAGTCGACAGAAAGCAAGAGCTAAGAAGATGTGGGTCAGAATCTCAGCCTATAAATGGCCAAATTGAATTAAAAAAATAAACTGTAATTTCATTTATCAGTTCACTTTAAGGAAAAGTAAATTTAATAAAAAGTAAATTTAATAAAATCAAATCCTTTTTGGAATCTCAAGCTGGGATCAGCTACAAGAAAAGCATTTATCTGCAACTGTTTTTCTTCTGACTGAACACAGCAACAAGTAAATCATATATAAAAAAACAAAACAATTACAGCGTCTTGAACCTGTTATAATTAACTGTATATTATCGATTACTTGGTCAGTGTGCTTCTCACCTCTGGCTCGGGGTCAAGTCTCGCTGTTTGAGTTGACCCAGCAGCTCGTTTGCCACCCAGTCAATCACGTTCCTCGGCTCCCTCTTGGTCCCCTTAATCACCTCCTCAAAATACTCCATCAAGCCTTCTTCAATCTGCAGCAACAACACGGTGGAAATGGTTTCACCTCCAAGCATACATATATTATAATTAGTACCCATCCCAATGGGGTTCATTAATCTAGAAGTCACAAACACAACCACGTATAATCTAACTTCAGTCTGATCTGAAGGATTTACTGATATATGCCAGGAAACTTCTCAGTGATTGTTCAGTTCCAGACACTTCGTAACGCACCACCAGAATGAAGCTGTGCTCAGGCAGGATGCCGTACTGTTGTACCAGCCGCTCTCTTTTGACGCTGGGTAACTCCGGCAGCCTTTCTTTTATGTTCTGCACCACCACCGCCTGGCATGGATCCACGCCAGAGGGCAGAGAAGCCATGTCTTCGTACACCATCAGAGGGGGCAGGTTGGGCTCTGGCATAAATCTGAAGAAAAGCAAAAGGAGTGAAGAGAAAATAGTGGCGAGTTTCTTTATTAGTATCATCAATAAGCTCAACGTGAATGAGACTCACGTTTGTTAAATACTAAGTGTTGTAGGTGCTACGCTGAAAGTATAAGAATAAATTCACTCTCACCTGTAATCCTGAAGACCCTCTTTGTCCCTCATAGGAATGGTTTCTCTAAAAAAATATAACAAATAAAAAGTTGTATATCTAAATGAATTGAATGGCAATATTCAAATTCACATTATTGTGTGAACGTTTATGAAGCATTCACACTATTGTGATCCATTATTCTTCTACACATACTGCATCTTTCTCGTCACAGTTTTTGTGCCATTTCAACAAATCATAAATCAAAACATTCAGCTCGTTCAGGAAAAGGGTGTTATGATTTTGGTACTGGTGCACCTTTATCTGTTTGAAATATTTAGCCTTTTCTGACATTTTTGTTCTCATAGAAATTGAATCGAGTTCATTTTACATCCTTCAAATCTTTAGATGCGTTTACAACTTTTACTGCTCCTTTCACATTTTGTTCAGGTTCAGCTTCTTTCAGCTTCCCTGTGCAAATTTAAACACTTTTTCAGCTACTTTCAGATCATTTCAGCTTCTTTCTACTAACTACAACATTTTTGTGCCTCCAACTTCTTTCAGATAATTTCAGCTTTATTATGCAAGTTTCAGTTATTTCAGCTTCTATTTAGCTGTTTTTATTTTATGCTAATTTGAGCTTTTTCAGCTAAGTACACATTTTTTGCACTCATTTAAACTTTTTTCAGCCCAACTCTGCAAATATGTGCTTTCTCCACTTCCTTCATGCATTTTCAGCTTCTTTTTGCCCTTTTAGCTACTTTTCAGCTGCTTTTTTGTTCTTGTTGCTGATTTCAGCTTTTGTCAGATTGTTTCTACTTTTTTGTGCTAATTTCTGCTTCTTTCAACCTAATTGGGCAAACACGTTCTTTCAGCTTTTTCTGCTAATTTAAGCTTGTTCTACTTTTTCAGCTACCTTTTTAGCATTTTTGAGCTACTTTCAGCAGTTTTCTAATAATTTAAACCTTTTGAGGCAATTTCTGCTAATTTTAGCTTAATTAACTTCTTTATGCTCCTTTCAGCTTATTTCAGCTACTATTTAACCGTTGTTTTTTGTGCTCATGTCTGCTTCTTTAAGCCTAATTGGGCAAGCATCTGTTCTTTCTGCTTTCTTCTGCTAATTTAAGCTTTTTGTTCATTTTTAGCTACATTGTGCTAATTTTAGCTTTTCAGCTAATTCTGCATTTTTGGCACTCCTTTCAACTTTTTTCAGCCTAATTTGGCAACAGTGTGCTCTCTCCACTTCCTTCTGGTAATTTAAGATTCTTTCTGATATCTTAGCTACTTTTCAGCTGTTTTATTTTTGCACATTTCTGCTTGGTTCAGATGATTTCCACTTGTTTGTGCTCATGTCTGCTTCTTTAAGCCTAATTGGGCAAGCATCTGTTCTTTCTGCTTTCTTCTGCTAATTTAAGCTTATTGTTCATTTTTAGCTACATTTCAGCTGTTTCAGAAAGTTATTCTGCAATAAGCATTCACACTGCATTTTCGCAGGAAATGAAATTCTTCTAGTGTTTTTTTTTTTAACATTTTCAAAGCTTTACATGACTCAAGATTTAAATAAATTCATATTTAACTCATACTGACTGCAGACGCTCCGTTCATTCACTTTTAAAGATTCGGTTACTTTAAGAACAACCGGAATAAAAGGTTGGCTTAGAGGAAGCTTTTATCTGTGAGCACATCCTTATGAGAGATACCAAGAAAAAACTTCTCACCTTTGGTGAGAAATACTGTCAAATGACATTGGTAGAAAATATTTGTGTGGTCATGGATACATGGGACAAGGAGGTTGTTTATAATGTGTCTGCATTTGATTTAAACATTGACGGTCTGGCATTTATTGAAGGAACGCATATCGCCTGTTGCCTTTATGAGTGTCTACTGTTGTCATCACACTCTGTTAAAATCAGGTCTCTGTTGTAAATGAGTCCTGGAGGCTCAGTGGGATTAACCTGTACAAATAAAGGTTGAATGGCTTTCATGCCAGAGTTTTAAACTGAGATCATCTTATATTGAGACATGACGGAGGTAGAGCCGTTCAGGACAAACCTCTACAATAACATTCTGCTTGGTCTCATAATACTAGAAGTCACCATCAACGTGTCAAAGATGACGGCGACTACAACACCAACACTGGCCATCTTGGATCGGTTTGACTTTAAATCAGTTTTAAATCAGTTTAATCAGTTGTAGACATAATTACTATTTGCCAGCCAGTGGTCAATAGACATTTTGGTAACACACACATGCCCACAGACAAAAACATATTTATCTGCCTTCACTTTTCAATGAGAGGTGATAAAAACGACCTTACTGCATGTACACACCTTGCCCCCTTGATTCTTTTTACACCTCATTAATACAATTTAAGGTTTTGCATTTCTCTGTTTTTCTGTTATGTTGAAAGATCTGTGTTGTTGTACAGAAATAAGATGTTACATAATGCATCAAGTCCAAAAATTGCAATGCATGAAATTGAAATTGATAAAAAATATATATATAGTTGCATTGCAATTTTATGAGATTAGGCTTTGAAAACATTTTAGTCTGTTTAAAACACTTCACGTACTAAAAAAATCTCTGCATAAGCCTTTAGCAACATCAGAGAAAAACTGCTCTCTTTTTTTAATATTTACTTCTGGATAAAAACCTGTTTAAACTTGTGGATGGATAAATAAAAACAACACATTTTTAATCATTTGATTAGCATCTCAAACAAAAAGCCTCAGTAAAGCAAAGAACTCATAATGGACCAAGAACGAACATATGTGCAGGGATCACGTTCAGTCAGAGCTGCTGTTTTTAAAACAGACCTGTCAGATCTGTGGCCAGATTACAAGAAAGACTCAATCGTGCACGTTGTTAAACAGCCTTCCCTGTGTTCCTCGGACATGCAAGGACTTCTGGGAAGGAGCCAGAGCCCCAGAAGATGATCAAGGCCTCAGCTGTGAGGCTGCAGGCTCATTTCGCGAGCTCATCAGCTATGAGTTGCACATAGCTCACAGATAACACAGACCGACAGGGGTATCCAAATGGCTCTATTCATCATCATTACCGTGATGGTTCATCCTTAGCAAAGCTCAGGACTAATGAAGCAGGCAGAGATCCCAGGCAGAGGGTGTTGTAATGGCTAAATCTCAGCTTTACGGCGCTGCTTTTTCATCCACTTACCCCAATTTGGAATCGTATGCCCGGGTCTCATTTTGCACCGTCTCTCCTCTCTGCACGATGCCAATCTGTCTCTGGATCTCGTAATCTGGTTGAAGATATTACAAAAATAAATGCACAAAAGAGTAAACACCTTTTCATTTGGTGGTAAATCCAAAAGAGCTGCTGGTAATCCTCAGATTCTTGACTTGAGCACCATTAAAACTCTGTAAAACGCTAACATTCTCTGTCTGGGACTCCGTCAGCTTAAAGGAAGCTTAAACCACCACAGTCAGTGAAACTAGAGCTGACAGATCATTTTTATTTTAGTGAGCAGCTGGGAGAAGTTAATCATCACACACTGAGATCTCACAGCTAACCGATGATGAACGGCTGTCAGCGATGAATTTACGTTGAACAAGTTACTGACTGCAACCGCTTCACTTCCTGTCCCAGTGTCTAGTCATATATCCACCTGGTTAAACAAAAACGTCCTAAACAAAAAGCCCTATATTTCAGCACGTGCATGACAAACATTTTGATATTTTCTGATGTAGAAATCTGAAATAAACGCAATGATGGTGCAAGAAAAAAAAAAAAACGCTCAAGACTTTCACACAGGAGATGAAGAACAGTTGCGATACGTCTGTTCTAATCCTTACTGACTGAAACAATGCTTCACATCTAATAAAAAGTGGTTCATTTAAAGTCAGGTGTCTAATTTTTATCTGCATGCCTTAGATAGAGTAACCGAAAGATTAAAAAAAAGATTTGTTTTTTATTTTACAAAGATATGCTGAAACATTATGGACAGATGTGTTGGTACAGATGTGTTGGTACCCTTAAAGAGTCTAGTAATCTTTGTCTATAGATATGTTTCAAACTGTGTTTGATCTTTTCTAGTAACACAGCTGCCTTCCAGCTTGGAAACAAACGCCACTGGGTAGTTTGATATTGTGTGCACGACACTGAGCAGACAAAGCAAAGGTAAGAGCTGTCTGAGAAGCTCAGAAGTAAGATTATATATATCCTGATGCATGCTCAATATATCACAATGATATACTGTATATACTGTATTCAAGTTAAAGGTAAAGGCTACAAGAGCATCTCCAAGCAGCTTTATGTTCCTCTGATCACAGATGACAATCTTAGAAAACATTTAAGGTTCGTGGGACTGTAGTCCACCTCCCTGGAAGTGGACGCAAGAGAAAATACAACTTCAGGTTGATCCTATGAATGATGGAAAAATGAAACTATCCAAAACCATTAAAGATAAACTCCAAAGTCAAGGTACATCATTATCTGGTCATACAATTTGTCACATTTTGAATCGTTGGGTACTCCATAGAAGACCTATAAGGGTTACTGGCAGAAAAACACCAATAAGCCAGACTACAGTTTGTCAAAATGTATGCAGACATGACCCAAATGTTTTTGGGTCAATGAAAGAAAACTGCAGCTTCTTGACCGTCACATAAACTGTGTTGTTTTTTGATTACCATAAAATTTATCAATGTTTGTATACAGTCACATATTAGTTCAGTTAACTTCCAGTTTATGTGACACTGTGTGCTAAAGTATTATCAGACCAGGAAAAGTAGCCTGGAACCAGTGAAGACTCCAGTATATTAGTCACCCCAACTAGGAAATCGATGGGGGGGGAGAGAAGAGACAGAGACATATCCGAGCCTCGCACTATTTGCTGCAACAGGTGTGTGTGTGTGTGTGGGGTGGGGGGGAGGACAGCGCTGTTTGCACAGACAATTTTTGGGGGTGGGGTAAGCGTGAGGGTTCAGCATAAGGGAAGAGGCTGCTTTTAGCTTTTTATTTAGCGCACCTGTATTGCGAGCCGCTGGGCTCAGCACAAATGATTAACATGGGTTTGTATTCCTGTGGGCCCACCACCTGCAGGAAAGGCCATACCAGTCAGGTGCCAATTGCCATGGGTTGTAGCCAAAGGTGGGGGCCTTGGTGTTCTAACCATAGCTTACCAAAGCTGGCTTTTGGGATGTGGAATATCACCTCTCTGGTGGGTAAAGAGCCTGAGCTTGTTCATGATGTTGAGAGGTACCAAATAGTTATAGTTTAACTCACCTGAACACACAGTACAGGCTCCAGAACTAATCTCCTTGAGAGGGGCTGGACCTTATTCCACTATGGCGTTATCCATGGTGAGAGGCGCCGAGTTGGAGTTGGTCTACTCTTAGCCCCTCAGCTTGTTGTTTGTCTTTTTTTGTTTTTGAACCAGTTTGACATGACTGTCAACAAGGAAGAGGGCTGGCAGGAGAGGAGGGGGCGTGCCAAAGACACCACCTTAGCACCAACATAACTGGTTTGTTCCACTTCGGAGTAAACTGTTTGGGGGAAGAATCAGTTTTGTGTTGTGTGTTTCCTTGATTGATGAAGCCTTCTGGATGGAAGGTGAAACGTTTCAGCAAAAAAGGAACCTGTCCAGATGACCTGACTGAAAATTGTTGCATTTGTAGTAATGTTGACTCTGTGCCAGTCCATTGTGGTGAAGAGGGAGCTGAGCTGTAAGGCAAAGCTTTCAGTTTACAGGTCGGTCTATGATGCTACCTTCACCTGTGGCTACAAACTCTGGGTAGTGACCAAAAGAACATGATCGCAGACACAGGTCATCAAAATGAGTTTTCTATGCAGGGTAGCTGGACTCTCCATTAAGAGATAGGGTGAGAAGTTCAGTTATCTAAGAGAAACTTAGAATTAGAGCCACTGCTCCTCCAAATTGAAAGGAGCCATTTGAGGTGGTTCAGGCATCTCGTAAGGATTTCCCCATGTTACCTTCCTTGGGAGGTGCTCCGGGCATTTCCGACTGGGAAGAGGCCCCAGGTAAGACCCAGGATATGCTGGAGAGACTGTGTCTCTCGACTGGCCTGGGAATGGCTTGGGGTTCTCCCAGAAGAGCTAGAAGAGGTGGCTGGGGAAAGAGATGTCTGGGACGCCATGCTTAAGCTGCTGCCCCAGCAACCCGACTCCAGAACAAGCAGAAGATAATGGATGGATGGATATGCCTTATTTCGATATTTAACTTCTAAAATGTTAAAATTAAGGAGAGGCAGAGATTTGCACAATATTTAATGACAAGGTTTTTAATATGATAATGGGTTTCCAATCAGTCATCTTGTTAAATTAAGGTTGACCTTTTCTAAAAACAAACAAACAAACAAAAAAAAAAAACAATTGGGATGGCATCATGTAGGCCACACAGAGGTTTTCACTTTTTAATTTTTTCTTCTCTTCTTTCGGCTGCTCCCTTCTTCAGGGGTCGCCACAGCAAACTAAGTCGCACGAAGACTTGGCAGTTATTTTTACGCCGGATGTCCTTCCTGACGCAACCACAGACCACCGAGCTACCACACCCCCTGTGTGGAGCAGAGAGCTGCTGTCTAGGACACCCGGAGGAGCAGATGGTGGGGGTTAAGGACCTTGCTCAAGGGACCAGAGTGGGACGAATGAGGGTGGGGGCAGGTGTGGGTATATTTTAGCCAGGCCATACCTTTTAGGCAAAATGGGTATATTTTAAGTATTTATACCCCCCAAACTGGAGGTAATTGGAGTGAGGACAGAGGATGCAGAGGACAGAGTGAGATGGAGGAGGATGACTCACTGTGGACCTCTGAAGAGGGAAAAGCTGAAAGACGAAGAAGATATCCTCCACCCACTTTCCAGTTGGACAGACAGTTTAAATTGTTTTTATTGGTTCTTACCTATAGCCCTGGCTAGATATCGAATGCTGTTGATGTTCTTCACCTCAGTCCTGATGCCAAGTGGCTCACCCGGTCTGTGAACAGACACATTAGCATCCACTCTCAGCTGGCCCTCTAAGGACAAAGCAGTAAGAGAATGCATACAGGAAAAGGAGTGAATTTACTCTTAGAAATGTAGTGACTTGGAGAAAGAATAGTTGGAAGTAACAAAAATGATTTCCATACCAGACATGTTGCCTTGACAGGTACCCAAGGCTTGCAGGATGAGCTGAAGCTCTCTGACAGCTGCCGCGGCCTCCTCTCCACAGTTCATGTCTGGCTCCATCACCAGCTCCATTAGACCAACACCTGATGCATGAGAAGACAGTTGTGTTTTAAATCCACAGGGGCTCTCCAAAAAAAAAAAAAAAAAAAAAAAACCCCTCTCAGATTATAAAGAAAATGTAGAGTTAATCTCTATCTATTTTTTCTTTGCTCGTATAATATGTAAGAAATTTAAAGACAACATAAAAAGACCACCCACCCCACCCAAAAAAAAATGTGCGCCTATTTGTCACCACTTTCCAAGTATTCCTAGAGCTAAAAAGACCTCTCCTTAAAAAATAATTTATTTCTAAAAGAAAAGCGTTTACAGGTTAGCAGAAGAGATTTTCTTAATAAAAAAAGACTGAACAAAAGTCAAAAGAAGTGAAGTGGTTTTGTGGGGAAGTTACAAACAATATCCTGCCTGTTTTTATTTGAATGACTTGAGTTTCGAGAAACAGAGTTTACTCTGAACTGATGAGCTAATAGCTAGTCAGAGTGGGACGAATGCCAAAGTTGACTGCTGACATCTAAGCAAATAACCATGACAGGCAAAACTGGCGTTAGTGTAAAGATTTCTAAAACAGCATTCATAGGGGTAGGAAGTAAAATCTATTTTTAGCTGCATCCCAAACGTGGAAGATTCTGAATAGATTTTCAAATGCTGAAAACAGATTTTAAAAGTACCTTGTGCAGCCGCTGTGGCAGCACAGTTGTTGCTGAGCAGTGACTTTTGTCCTAGCAGAGACTGTAGTAGAAACATGTAGCAGTAAAGCCGTCTAGTTTTATCTAGTCTTTTACTTAACCCTGAAGAACGTATCTGTACATAAAAACTGAAGTTATCATAATATGACTGTCTTTAGAAATGACTTTGAAATGTTTGATTCATGTAAAAAAATTCCAGTAATGAACACAATGCTAACTGCGTTAGCTCTTCTACAAAATTGTCAATGTTAAGTTACTATCTATGCTGATTACTGGCCAGGGGTCCGAGATAAATTGTTCAGTTTTTTTTAACCATCATTTTGCACTCTTTCATAGGCATGAAAATAAACAAATCAGTGTATTTACATAAAATAAGCCAAAGGCATTTAAGTTTTAAAATAATCTAAATTCATCAGTAATTTGTAATCAAATTGTGAGGCGTCTAAAGACTCCTAACTCTACTGTTCACATGAACTGTTCTGAAACGTTTGGGTCTTGGCTCCACTTAGACTGTCAGCTTGTCATTCTATTAAACTCTATTGCTCCAAACAAAGGTTGTTCAAAGAGCTCTCTACAACAGGTAAGACAAAACGTGTTCAGTCTTTCTACAAAACCCGAAGTCAAAAGAACGATTAAACTGACAACTCTGATTTTACTTCAGACACAGCATGACTGCGGTTAGCCGGTAGAAGACAGATCTCTATCGTAGGCTAAATTTCTATCGTTTCTACCGTGTACCGTTTATATCGCGCATTCCTAATGCAACATTTAGCCAAGTTTTATGAATCATTATCCAAAAGTCTCCTTTCTGGTAGAAATCAGTAAAGGTCTTTGGTGCTTTGTACCATGAAGTGAAAATAAAAATGTTATAGTCAAAGGTTTGTATTTTGTTTAATTCTGCTCATTTTGAGAAGATCACTTTTCATCTGTTAAACCTAAACATTATATAAAAAAGAATTACCAACTAATTTGCAGAAAGTCTGCATCGACCTCTTCAAGCCTGCTGGCCAAAATGATACCATTCTTAAACTGCAGCTGTGGGCCGCACAAAATCACTCCAAGGGCCGCAAATGGCCCTCGGGCCACAGTTTGGACACCTGTGATCTAAACTGTCACTTTATGGTCGACTTAAAATATTCCACAGCCTTAATGTTTAGTAGAATAAACAAATGAGTCATTCTGAGTAACAGTGCAGCTCAATGATGTCTTCCGAACAAGCACTAAAATATAAATTAACAAAAGTTTGTCTGATGAATTCATTGCATCACTTAGCTGCAAAACACACAAAGTAAATTCATTTATTGTTGGTTATAATGAACTGCTGTTACTAAGAAAACACATCACTCACTCCTTAACGTCCTGTTTCACTGGAGGCTCACCAACCTGCTCTGTTAAGATCAATGAGCGTCTGGTTGTGCACGTCATCGTGCAGACTCTTGCCGCTGTCCTGTTCCAGCTGGATCTGTTTGATGTGCACGTGTTTACGGATTACCTGGCTCCTCTTCTTTCTTCTGAGGAAGCTGTAAGTGAGCCCGCCGTCCACGGCGATTGGCCGACGCTGCTGAGTGATCTGATATCCAGCCTGAAAGAAGACGGCTGAACCATTAGTCAGCTCACACAAGTGGTTCAGAAGCTGTTGGATTAAAAGACGGGTGTTCATCTTTCAGTGTTTACTGCCTTTAAAATAAAGACTTCTTTTGATTAAACTTTAGATGTTCCGTCATCTTTAGGATGTGAAAACATTTACAAATTAAGAGAGTTAAGGTAATTAATTAAGATAAAAATGTTTTGTCAGTGTCTGTCTTTTCTGTTAGCAAAATATCTCATGAATCACTAAACAGATTTTTAATTAAACTTGTCCATATGATCCTGGAAAACACAAAAGCTTCTACACCTCTTCCAGATACTGACGTGGCATTTGATGTAGCAGCTGAGCATCGTTCCCAACATGTTAGCATTTCACACAACAGATTTGTTTCAAAGCTTTGCACGATCTGTTGGAGTCGACCACGTTACTCAGTTAGCAAAATATCCCATAAACCCTCAAGCAGATTTCTCCAACTGATTAACTTTAGGAGTCGAGATGGCTGCCACATCTAGACACCATTATCTAATAGAAACATGTTTATAACTCCATCACTGGGACAGATAGTGATCCTTGATTTGATGTGGTAGTAGCAGAGTCATAGTGCACACACTGAGCATATCGTGTTATTGCACAAGGCTGTCTGAAGATGGCTGTGTAGTGAACTCGGCCTCCGACCAAAACCTGTCTCTGAAGACCTTCATGGGACAGGAACTGTTATTTCATTGATTTGAATCCAGAAATACAAATTAGCTCATCCAGAGACTTTCTAATTGTATCCTGAAGTAATCAATCGAAAGAACACTCTTCTTTTTATATTATCATTACTATTTTACAATATCTTGATAATCAAAAAGTGTGTTTAGTTCATATCATTTCTAATGTTGAAGTGAACCACTCATTTTAAATCAACTGTGAAACAGTATTAATGATTTTTTAAACCTCATTTAAATTAGAAATCAAGTTAAATGTCTATTTACAAAGTAATTATGCATTTTGATTTTCCGTCTAAATGAGAAGTCAGTGATGTCGGTCAAAAGTCAGAGACAGTCAGAAAAGAAGTTATTAGAACGGACTGTATTGTTTTTAAACCTAGCAGACGGTAAAAAGAGAAACACTGGCATCTGCGTTGTCTCACTTCGCCATAACATTTCTCTGTCTGTACTAAATGTTCCTAAACATTCCTGAACCCTCGCTTGACCTTCAATAACCCTCTGACATCACTAGAACCACCCCCCGTTGGTTGTTTCAACCAATCAGGGAGTCCTAAGTGTACCGGAGGTTTGAGCTGGTGATTGAAAGAAGCGTGCTAATTCTGGTCAATCCAAACATACAGCTTTCTCCATCCATCTCTTCTTTAAACTCCTTCATTCCTTCTTTTAAACTCTTCTATTTTGCCAGTAATCTAGATGCCTTCAGAAATGTCCTGTTGTCTTATTAGTAAAGCGTGCCAAGTTTTATTAATCAGAACCAGATAAGCTAATCAAGTGTACATGTTTTGATGTTAAATTTTGATTCTGTTAAATAAATGACCACATTTATTCTGATGGGTCAAAGGAAAATTAACGTCTCTTGTCACTGATTAAACAATCCTCACAGTTACCTCGGTCACATGGCATTAATTTAACTCGAAAAAGAAAGAACCCGGTATATTTAAATAATTAGTAGTAAAGCGACAGTTAAGCTGTCCCCCACCTTTACTACATTTGGTGGGACCATACGTGTTTTAAATAACACATTTGGTGGGACAGTATGTCCACAGCAAAGCTGTCCTTGACACACTACAGCTGCCACAGCAAATCAGCCTTAGCCCTCGAAAAAATTTATTTAACAACGAATTTTACAGACAGAACTAAAGTTTGGTGTCTTAGTAGCTGACAGTCATTATGGGGAGTGGTGGCACAGAGGTTAGAGAAGGTGGGCCTGTGATCAGAAGGTCACTGGTTCAACTTCCTGGATTGACAACATCAAAATGTAGGTGGGAAAGGTGAAACACCTGCCTCCACCCTCATTTGCCCCACTCTGGGCCCTTGAGCAAGGACCTTAACCCCCACCATCTGCTCCTCAGGGCGCCATAGAAAGCAGCTCTCTGCTCCACACACAGAGAGGGCTGTGGTAGCTCGGTGGTCTGTGGTTGCGTCAGGAAGGACATCCGGCATAAAAACAATCACCAAGTCTTCGTCTTCTTAGTTCACTGTGGCGACCCCTGAAGAAAGGAGCATCCGAAAGAAGGAAAAAAAAAAGTAGATGACAGTAGGTCTGTCGCAATAAACAATAAATCAATTAATCGCATGATAAATAAAAATTATTGACCTCATTTTCATTTATTGGCTTTATCGTTTCTTCATGTCTCCGTCTTTCTACTGAAGACACTGGATGACAAAAAGCTAAACTCCGGTGCTCTTCACTGACCCCTCCCTTTCTCTTTAAAATCCATTTTAACCTTCCAAAATCATGTTTTTGGATCGTTAAAAGCAGCTAAGCTGAGAAGCTAAGCTACGAGCTAAGCTAACAGGCCGACCTCAGGGAAAAACCTCCGTCTTGTCGAGGATCCAAAATTCACGATTCAAACTCGTGCCTTCGTGTAAAAAGTTGATTTTCTCTGAAAAAAGAAGCTGAGAACTTGTTTACTGATTTTTTTATTAAAAGCTCTGTGTGAAAAATGCTAAAGAGCTCAAACCACACGGAGCGTCTGCCATTTTGAGAACCAAAGAGAGACAGCCCATGTCACGTCCAGGGGCCTCCCTCCCATTTTTATTAAAGAGACACGCTGCTCGTTCTCTCACTATCCATCCTTTGGTTCAAACCGTCTTATACTGCCATCCGGTGGTCGATAAAAGATACTACACTTCAAAACAAATTAAACATTTCTTCTTAAATTTGACAATAATTATTAATTACTGTCAAATTTCACACAATATTATCATTTATCGTAATAATTTCTGAGACAATTAATCACCCAGTAAAATCTGTTATCGTGACAGGCCTAGCTGACAGTAATTCATAACACATAATATGACCACTAACAGATGACGTGAGATTTCTTAATAGAAACTTTCTTTCGGCCGCTCACGTCTTCTTCTGGTCTGGGTGACTGTCGGCCAGTGGCCCTCACCCCGGTGGTCGCTGAATGCTTCGGGGAACTGGTCGTGACTCGCATCGAGACGGCCATCAACATCGGCGAGGACCCTCATCAGTATGCATACCGTGAGAGCCGATCAGCAGAGGATGCGGTCTCCTCTGTGGTCCACGCTGCGCTCGACCACCTGGAGCAGAGGGACTCTTGCGTCCGTGTGCTCTTTGTGGACTTCACGTCCGCCTTCAACACCATGATCCCCCAGGCCCTGATGGACAAACTATCCACACTGGGACTGGGCCTCTCCATCTGCAACTGGGTACTAGACTTTTTAACAAGCGGACCACAGTTAGTGGGGATCCACAGCCTCTCCTCCTCCACCATGGCCCTCAGCACTGGCTCTCCTCGGGGATGTGTGTTGGGTCCCCTCCTGTTTGCTCTGCTCACGTATGATTGTGCAGCTACCCATCCAGGCTGTCACATTGTGGGGTTTGCAGATGATGCAGCGGTGGTGGGATGCATCGCAGGCAGTGATGGGTCCAGCTACGGGCGGGAGGTGGAGCGCCTGGAGAGCTGGTGCAAGGAGAGTAGCCTTCACATCAATGTGAAGAGGACAAAGGAGATGATTGTGGACTTCAGAAGGAACAAAAACATCTACACCCCCCGAACATAAGAGGATCTGCGGTGGAAGTGGTCTCCAGCTACAAGTACT